TTGTTTTCTGTGTACAAAGAGCCATCTTGTACATTGTAGAATGTTTAGTAACTCCTAAACATTCTACAACAACCAAAACCTACATACCATTATAATTTAATAACAAAACACTATCAGAGGCAACTGTCAAATATGCTTTACAGGGAAAATTGCCCCATTTGGAAATTACCATTATAATTTCATTGATGTTCTATTTTAGGGCTGGAAATATATTCCTGGTATTAAGGAAGCATTGTGATAGATAGGTCACTTCTGCCTGCCTCAAGAAAGTGGGATAGCAACAGGAATAATTGGAATTATTCTACCTGCAGAATTCATGCAGTACATTCCAGGATGTACTTAGAGAACCCAGAAATATTTAAAAGTATCCATTCCAGGGATGGAAGACATCCATACCCTTGATTTTCACCTTCGTCTTTCTTTCCAAAGCATCAAAAATGATTATGAATTTGAAAGGAAGAATTATTTCTGGGAAGTTGGAAACACACATACTCTGCTGATGGCTGAAAGCTGAGAATTTCAAGATTCAGCAGACTTGGCTCTGCCTCTCAATAGCTGGAGTAGACCCAAGTACAAGGTGCTATTAGGCAGCATCTTATAAAGAATGGATCACCAGGCACCATCAAGCTGTCCTAGTGTTATTTGCCCAAATTCACATTCAGCTTGGCAGGACAAGGACAGAACTCTGCTAGCCAGTAATGCTAATTCAGGCGTCCTTACATCTCTTCACCTCTACAACAGAAATTCTCATGACATCTCCTAAGCTGCACAATTGGATCATTCTAACTTGATCTAACTTAACTTATCTCTCCAACCCCTCCCGCCTTCCATATTTGAAGATGTCCTGACTTCATTTTTATGTCTTTGTACACACCTATTTGTCGAAAATGCATTTCCTACACAGTGTTGCTGCCTAAATTACCACCTGTTCTTCCATGCTCAGTTCAAATGCTGCTTTTTCCAGGAAGTTGTTGTTGCCCCCTCCCTGACATCAGATTCTTTACCTGGAAATGTTTCTGTTCGAATCCCTCTTCCTTCTAAGCACTCAAAACACACATTTCTCACAGAGCACAAACAATGCTCTGATTTTTATAAATTGCTTCATTTCTCAGCCTATTGTAATTGCATAGAAGCAGATGTGGTGTTTAGTTAATTTGTGATTCTCCCACGTTGCCAAAATATGCAAACCATACTCCTTAGATAATAAGTGTTGAACTAACCAGGAACTCCATGTTCTCCACAAGAAGGCATTTTTTTCACCCACTCATTCATTTCCTTTGCTCCTATAGTTTATGATTTGAGAGCAAGTTTTTATGCTTAATGAAATGAAAGAATATATATATATATATTTATATATATATATTATTTGAACTATGAAGATGTTTAAAGAAGATGTGTAGGATGAGCAATCATAATACTCTTAATGATCCTTACTTTACCTTCCATCAATGTCAGTTAACATCATGAGATCTTAATAAGAGGATTACTTAGTATATATGAATTGGTAATAATAAAGTAAGATCATAATTCAGATTGCCAGTGAAGTACTCAGCACCTCTACATATTTTTTTTCTATTCCTGACCTACTTTCACTTTGTATACTTTCTGTTAGAAGTCATTATGCATTTGTCAATCTTAACACTCCATGTGGGAGTTTCAAAAGGATTGCAGGTTTTCATATAGGTATATAAAATTGGAATGGAAATTTTCCACTTAATATAATCATGAGTCTTTAGTAGCTCCACAATTTATTTGCAACATATGAACTTATAAATTTATTTAAATAAATAGATGGAGAAGATAAACATTTAGCTATTAGAGAAAGCTATGAAATGAAGATGAAAATAAGATAATCCCTTAAAAAGTATGTACAAATGTTACAGGATGTTCATTTAATTTATCACAAAATGCAATTGTATGAATCAGATTTTTAAAGGAAAAAATTAAAATCTCCAAACTCTCTTAATATAAACTTTTAGATTTAAAACACTTTAAAATGTACAAGAAAGGAAAAATAGTTTCAAAATATAATTTAAGAATTGTTAGATAATTAGTACTCAATTATTTAACTAATGATATTAATGAATACCACATTTGATCCATTTTAATTTAGATTTCAAAAAATATAGCAATAAACAAGTAATATGGGGGATTAGTATATTTGGTCTTCATGAGAAGAATTTGGGTGTTTTGTCAGTTGTGTGGGAGATAGTAAATGAAAATTAATTGACTAACTAGAATCAAAGCAGCTTACTTTTGGTGAACAACAATGAAATTGGCACTGATGATATTGCTGTCTTTCCATCTGATCTCTGAAGAGACCCATACTGACATATCAGACAGAATGAAGGAGAGTCAATTTCAAATGCATGGGCATTATTTAGCCCTATTGTAACTGCTTGACTTATTCTTTATTTTAAGCTTATAGCTTTTGAAATTATCAGATTCTCATCCACTTATATATGTGTACTATAAATTTAATATTACTAGAGTCTATTGAATCATTTCTAAGAAATCAATTAATATTAATATTGATTAAGCATATATAAATGTCACTATTTAACATAATTAAACGAACATCTGCACCATTGTTTCCAAGTGAATGCATACCAAATTCACCAGAAACTCGTTTTTTGGGGGGGTTGTTGGGGAGAGATAATAACACACAAGTTGTATAACACTTTTAAAGATAACATATTATCAATAACATTTGTTCTGATGTCTTCTATAATTGTGTTCTAAGTCTAATTCTAGAAAAAAATGCTTTTGTTCTTTAAATTCTATTTTATTGCAGGAAAGAAGGACTTGGGAAAAAGTTGTAAATGAAAGAAAGGATGATATTAAGACAGACACAATTCAATATTCTATCATCAAATGGTACCACAATACACACACACACACACACACACACACACACACACACACACACCTACTTCTAGGACTGCCTGCAACTCCTCACCCTACTTCCTCAATCTCATTCCTCAAACTCCTAAGTATCAGGGTGCCAGAGACACACCACCATGCTTAGCTTAAGACAACCATGATGCTTACAGTTCTCCCAGTGTCTGGCTTTTTTCTTTGTTCATTTGTTTGTTTTATTTTCTTGGAGACAAAATGCATTTTCAAATTATTCACAAACAATTTAGGAACCATCAACATAGTAAAGAATAGGAGAATTAAGAGAAAACTCATATTAGCAGCATAAGTTGGAAAAAATTTTTCAGATGATAAATCAAGCATTCTAGAGAAGATATAAAATACTGCAAGAATTTAGAAATGAGAAAATCTGTGCTATGCCCTCAAATTAGACATCTATTCCTAAGTGCAGGCATCTTAGCTAGCTGTCCTTAGACGTGTTCTGCTGCTTTGGAGATCCAAGTGAATCTCTTAATTGTCTAAAGCTTTGCGACATAGAAAGTCTTTTAGAACCAGAATGTACCTGTATCAGACAAGTGTGTGTAACAGTTTTGCTTACTGGTCAAAGTGCCACAGTAAGTATGAAGTAAGAATACTTTTCATATAAACTACTCCAAATGCCAATTACTTAGACAAATCCCAGACAAGAAATGGAGCAAAGTTCAAAATTTGTTTTTACCTCTTTAAAATGTTGAAAATTTTTGAGCAAGTTGTGTGATTTTAGAAGCTATAAACTTCAAATATCTCAGAACAAAATAGGTTATAGGCTCAAAAAGTAACTCAAGAAAATATGTATGTATGTATGTATGTATTAGTTAATGGGTCATGAGTCAGCCTATATGATTCAAGATTTTGTACTGCCATCTTCAAAAGTAGGTATAATTTCTGAGACTTGCATTACATTGTCATATACGACAATGTTCCTGTAAGCTGTGCTTATGATCTACTCCTAAGTGTTTTATAGCCAAAGTGGGCATTTCCCCAGAATTAGTCCATTCTATCTCAACCTTGACCACATGATTTACGTGACTGAATGGGCAGTACAGTGCCTTGGTCCTTCTCATGCACTTTGAAAAAATGAACAGAAGAATAGACTAACGGTGTTTGACACTCTTATGAAAGAGCAGGTTAATTCCTATGTGCATAGCTATCATAAAGTACAAATTGTGAAGATTCTGCATGCAAAATATAGTTGTCTTGTTGCTTCTCTATATCTTAGAACCCTTCTGTAGTCACTGGCATCTAGCTTAATGTTCAACAAACAAAAAGTCTAACATAAATGAATCAAATTGTGGACAAGTAATTATTTGATTTGTACTAATAAGTCTAATTAATGCAACAAAGTTGTTGATGATGTCATAAAATTTAAGACAGAACTGCCTATGAGGAAAAAATGTTGTGGGTGTGAACTGTAAGGAGTTGTCATCTGTTATGAATTAGCAAGAACACAGAGTGTCTGAGGTAACTCATGAATAGCAGGAATAATCCAATGTACTTTCTGAAGAACTGGGTGGATAAAAACTTGTCCAGTTGTTTTTAGCACAGGACTGCAACCCAGACACCACCCAGCCATAACAGTGTAATACCGGGGTGAACATAAGATATGAGTTCAACAAATACATCCTGAGATGGTAAGAGAGGCTTATAATTGCAAATGTTTAAATAAGCAAGTACTTACTGTAAGTGTTCTTACAAACAGATGCCTTTATCGTTCCTTTGAGAGAGTGGGAGTTTTATGGAGTGACTTCTCTGTATAGTTTCAGGATCTTATTTCAATTTATTGTTATACAAAATGTAAATAATGAAAAGTACAAGACTCCATAGGTAATGGTTTCATAGTAATTATTTGACTAACCCATTTATCCAAGGTGTTTGAAAAAAATGTTAATTCATTCCTGTTAGAAACTAATGACATATACTATTAAATTACTTTTAAATCTCATTTTACAAGAGAACCGATAATTAGCAAAGAATTGCAATACCATATTTGCTTTTCCATACTAATTATGGTTAGGGTCCTTTGTGATATGCAGTGTGGATTGCTTCACTATTGTGTTAATAAACTCAAGGGAAGGAAACACCACTATTAGTAACAGCTTTTTATTCGGAGTTCTCATTTTCCAGACAGGTCATATGAAACACAGCCATTAAACAATAGGTGTTGAGATAAATCCATACAATGTATGCTGCTTTTGTTGTTGTTGTCCTTGTTCACCAATCACTTGGTGCAGGAAGAACCTTATGAAGTGATGGGACTGATAAATGAAACTAGCTAACCTGCAAAACACTGGGGCCAGGAGAGTCAGACTTTAATCAGGTCTCATTCAATTATGTTTCAAACCAACACATCTTGATAGCCAAAACTCTCATGGAATTAATGCTCTGGTAAATGTTGTCTCTTGTCAAAAGAATATAATTAGACAATAATGAGTAGGTATATATTGTGCTAGTCAATCAATTTGTTGACCCCAGCTTCTTCCATTGCATTAGACAACAAACAGCTTTTAACCTGCTCATTCCTACATTTGTGCCATATTTTGGTTGTTGTTGTTGTTTTTTGAACAGTACCTGAATCCTTAAAAGGAAAGTCACATTTTCCAAGAGCTCAGTTAATTTAGGGAAGTGAACAATTAATTTCTCACCCAATAATTCTACGGAACAGGGTCCAACCTTTGTATGTTGCTTGCAATAGGGATAAGTTTGTTGGGAAAAGAAACAATATGATAGCTTCTTTGAGATTACGTAAGGCATTTCTCTGCAGCTATTACTTTGATATATTATAACACTGATTTTTATTTTTACTATTTTGGACTTCAATGAAAACATTTTTATTATTAACAAGTGGAGAAATGATTTCATTACTGAAGATTTTTTTGCAGTTCACCAATAAGCATTTTTCAGTATTTTGAGTCTCTTAACTAAAACTTCCCAAAATGTAGTTTTCCTTTACTTAAAGAGCTCTAAAAAATTAAAAGACTTTATTTTTCATCATGTGTGTATTTGTGTGTATGTGTTTGTGTGTGTGTTTGTGTGTGTGTATGTGTGTAAAGCATTCTAATTCCAGAAACCCCTTCAACTCTACTGATTGTGTGCCACCCATTAGAGACATTGTTTCCCAAAGGTGTGATTTTGGCATCGCAAAGGCTTCCTTGGAAGCCAAGCACCAGAGTTCTGTGACAAGGGCAGGTCCCAGGGAGATAAATAAAAGCATGATTCCCTCAACTATAAAAGCTCAGAGTTCAGACTTGAACTACCACCAACTACCCCTTGTAAATAAATAATCACTAGTAAATACACATAAAGTATTAAACAGCTAACACTAATAAATCACTGGTGGCTGCTTCGAGTCAATTCCTCACATATTGGCACAAGCGATTCTGTGACTCATGTGGTGTTTCAATATCATCAGACACAATACATTGAACAACCAGTTACTTAGAATTAAGAAGTTTTAAAAAATAAACTTATTCTTTATGTTGAATTCATTTGCACACTGCTTTAGATTTTAATAAGTGGTTATCTGGATAGTGAGAGAGAGGCAAAGCTTGGAAAAACTAAGAGGAAACAGTTTTCCATCAACTTTCATCTATCAAGCTAAGTCATTTTGTAGTCTCCTGGAAAAAGTAACATTATAGAACAGAGACAACACGCCGTAGACACAAAAGTTGCTCAAAATATAGTGTCAATTGGATTTCACATGTACAAGATCCCTTGTTTTCTGATTTAGACATTTACAGATAACAAAAAATCCAGAGTAGAGCTGTGGAAAGGCTGTAATAAAGAACCAAATGCAGTTCTCAGGAGGATAAGGCTGATTGATGGAGGTCACCCCTTCATACCTGCAAAGCAATTTTGCTAGTGAGGTACGATCTAAAACTTTTCTGAAATGATGGAAATATGTCCAGAAGATTTTTTTTAATTACAAAACTCAATTTAGCACAATGTTTGTTTTGCTTTTCCTTTTGTTTTTAGTATAAGGATTTTATGACATTATGCTGTTTCTACACTGGCTTGGTGGCCAGAAAAGAAGGCACAAATTCTCTCCAGTTTGTAAATAATCTTTTTTTTTTTTTCTGCTCCAGTGCAAAAACAGCCTTTATTTAACTGAGCACCACGTTCTCCAAGGTATGGGCTCAAACTGTTTGCCATGAAGCTGTTAAATGCCAAAAACAAAATTTAAATGCTGAAGGAAAATGTCAATCAAGGCATTTCTCCATCTGCTACTACTTCTGTGAGTGCTAATTTTATTTTTCCCAATTCCCAAAGTTAGAGTTGTCTTAGCTTAAGAAGGAAGTAAGTTGGAAACTTGCTAAACGTTACGAGAAATGGGGCAATCGAGTGATGGAATAAAGGGTATTGTTCTTAAAGGACAGCGATAAAAGGAGGCAGAAGAGCACAGAGAGAAAGGAAAACAAATTTTGTTAAGACCCAGACCTCTTGAAATACAGTACACAATGCATGTAACCAGCACTTGTACTACACATGCATCAAACCATGTTTAGTAGTAATATGATGTGTACACACACCTGAACCACTGAAGGTACTTTTGAGAACAAATCAATGTTATGATATCTACACAGCAGAGCTTTGTGTTATTGAAAACATGGTAAAGAATTTTCAGGTATTGGTACAAATGTATTTCTTGTGATTTAGCATGACTTTAATTGAAGCTTCTACAAGGACTTGCACAGAACTATGACTGACATGTATTCTTTTTGACCTTTCAGTTAGTTCCATCAGCTCACTCGAACACATTTTGAACAGAATTATGTACTGTAGTACTTGGTAGACTATACATTAAACAAGAGACTTTGCTCTGAGGCACTGCTTCCCACGCTCCATGGGGAAAAGGAAGCAGGAAAAAAACAAAACTCATAGAGTTCGACAGCTACCGAGGCAACACTTGCCATTTACAATATAAGCCCAAATATTTTGCAACACAACTATATATTAATTTAATAAAATACACAATATAGCTCTTATACACTCAACAATTTGGCTCATATGCACAGAATCTGCAATAAATCAATAAAAATATGCCATTTGATGTAAACACATTGAATCTTACATCTGCACATTAACGGTCATGTGATTTGTTATGTCTAAGACTTTTCTTTTACTTTCCTGAGCTATTTTAGTGTCCAAAAATGAATAAGACATTTTAGTCATGTTAATTTTCTCTCAGTATTAGCACTCAATGATAACTCATAATTCAGAATAGTCACCACCATTTATGTCTTACTTGGACACTAAAATGCTGTATACACATTTTTAAGTCTTCATTTTTTTTTTCTTTAATGACGTGAATAGATCTACATGTGTTCAGGACAACACAGACTATATCTTTTTACATTGAACTTTTATACGACATGAGGTGTCTTACAAATGACCAAGGGTTTTGTTGTATTTTTTGTTTTGTCATTATTATATATATATATATATATTTTTTTTTGCTTTATGATGATGATATGGAATGGTCTTTGTGTTTCTATGCTTGGCAGGTACTTTATACAGAAATGTTTACCACAAATATGTGTTAATGTTTGGTGTAGCTCGGACTACTGCAAGGTCTTTTCAGGACTTTCAGTAGAAGCCTGTGATGTCAGCTAGAAATCCACCACAGATAACAAATATGACCCTGCTTTGTATGAGATTTATAGGTAAACAGTTAAGTCAGCATCGATCTCAGAGGACAGTCTTAGAATGATTAGAAATACTTTAAGTCTCCCGCTGTGTACCTTCCTAACAGATTGTCAAAAGGTAACTTGTCTCCTCATCCTCCTTTTTTTGCTCTCCATTTTCTTCTCTCTCTCTTTTCTTGTTTATTCTTAAGCGTCTTTAATTCTGTCCTAATATAAGTTTGGTCAAAACCATTGTTATTTCTGTAAAAGAAACAGCAGTGAAAAGAACATACTTGTGGGCACTTCAGATGTTCACTAAAAGCCTTAAAGCAGCATTGGTCCTTTTCCATCCCTGTAAAATGGGTTGTCACCGGGAGGAACCATTTTTAAATCAACAGAAGAGACAAGAAAACACCAATGCTGTTCCCCCCTCACTTTCTCACAGCTACAGGGTCATTTCCCCGGCAGTCTTGCAAGAGTTTATCAATCTCTCTCACAACTTCTTCTGCATCCACGGACTCTCCGCCCAGATCTCTATTGGAGTGATCAAGCTGCTCCAGCACAGCTCCCATCTCATTGGAATCCCGGCTGACTCTGGAATGAACATCCGCAAAGACTCTCGCCATCTGATCAGAAGCCATGAAGGAAGGGTCTCTTGGTTGCTTACTGGGTGACAGATATTGACTGTCAGTGGGCATATAGGAACTGCTTGCTTCAGCTAAAGCCCCTGGTTTTGCTTCACAGCCATCCAGGGAGCCTTTTGTTGAGGCGCAAGGCTCAATGCATGCCTTGGTTGGGCTGCTAGATGCTGAGGGGACCTCTTGGAGGAGAGGGCTCAGGGCACGTTTGGCTTTTAAATAAGGTTTCACATTGGCAATGAGAATAGTGTGCTCTCGCTTGTCTTTTCCAAATGTACAAAAAGTCTTTTTCCCAGTGGGGTTCACAGTTTCGTAAGTCTCAGTCTCAACATTAGCTTCAACTGTGGGTACAAAGAGATTTGTGCGGTAATCTGCGTTTTCAGCTTGATTGGCAGCAGGGAACTGTGGCATCCAACACCTATCAGAATGACCAAGCACTCGGCACTCATCTGTGCAGTTAATGCACTCTTCCGGTTCTGTAAAACAAAAGGGAAAAGCAATCCTTAGAGTTTCTTTGAAAATTTCTACTTGAGGCTGTGATCAGCTGTCTCAATGGGCTTGCTTGACCTCTGGTCTCTTAATTAAAAAGGAAAGAAAACAATAATTAAAACGTTTCAGGATGGTTGCATAAACCTGCTGGTTGAGACAATGGTTTTATTTAAGTCTATTCTCCAGATATTAACGAATTCCCCTAGCCTGGGAAGAAGTAAAAACTGGTCACTGGAGAATGATTCTCTATGGAAGACAGCATCACTGTTACTTAATCCCATAGGAAACTTAGTCTTTGTTCTATGTAGCCTGACCTGGAAACAGTGAACGTCAAAAAAGATGGTCAGGATTTGTTTGTTAAATCAAATAACAGGTAAACAGTGGACCACAAATTTCCATAATAAATTCTAAGCTGCTTTTAAAATATTTTATCATTATTTATTTGTAAATGTTATTTTGGTGACAGTCATGAAATTAAAAGTGTTACTTTCTGTACTGCCTTTTTCCCTACTGAGAGAAGCAAATAGAATTTCTTTTTCTATCAGACTGTATTTTGAATAAGCTCGTCAAAAGGGCACTTTCCTGATTTATTATATATGCATATGAATCTTACTATCAATTTCTTTCACTTAAAGTTTTTTATATTGGTGTAAGTACGTGAAAATAGATTTGCTCAACAGGAATAGTTCAGAATAATGGCACTTTATAGTTTCCTACCCTAAGCAATGTTTTCTGTGAGAATTTGCACTTCTCTCTTTTGCCAATAGAGGAATGGGGAATCTATATAAAGCATGATCTAATGATTACTACTTTAAAGACACTGAAGAGGACACATTAAGCAAAATGCCTTTGCTGTGATGCTATGAACTTCCTATTGGCCCCAACATTTTCCACCATATCTTTGAATTACATCTTCTCAGTTGTTCCTTCTATGAATGGTTGCTTCCTTTTCGTTTAATGATGCATTTAGATCAGGGACTCCTACTAGGAGAAGAGGTGCATTTACAATTCACCTACATGTGATGGGAGTATAATTCCCTACACATTTAAAGGCTCTTAGGGATTGCCTTTTAATTGATGCTAGATGATCCTTACAAATAAATGGTGTGCTCTGAAAGGAAAGACAAGTCTACAAACAATACATTTGACACAGGAAATAGCAAGTATAAAATAATTTATGTGTTAGTTTTCCAAAGTCACACAAAACATTTGATTTTTATATTTAAAGCCCACAGAGAATTCTTATCAGTCAACCAAACATACCCTCAAACATTTTTACCATAAGAAATTTGAGCCATGAAATAATTATGATTATACCGAGTATCAGAGCACCTTGACAAGACAAAATATTATGATATCTCATAGCATGCATGATTTATACTTGTGAATTTTAAAATGTATTTTGTTTGCGTATGTCTAATTTAAGTTGCCATTTTTTTAGTGAGATATTTTCCTTGGAATAAATGCAGTGCTATCTTTTAACTTTACTATGTAAAGCAGGCACCAATAGGGTATCACAGTCTCTGCATGTGGAACAAGAGGAACAAGAACTACTAGAGAAGAACCTGGGCCACCGGAATGTTTTAGGATGCTTTGTTACGTATTTAAATAAGAGCTGAGATTAAAATGTACTTCTAATGTCTTAGTGGTTCAGCATCAGGAATTTCTGTTAACTAATCTGAATGGCCATCATATGACTGTGTGAGTGCTTCATATCATTTAAAGCTAGGCATTTCATCTTGAAATGATTTACAACTAATACACTCATTTTTAATTTTGCTGACATGGTTTTGTAATTCAGTATTGACTGGACTTCCATTTCAGCTATTTAAATAAGCAGCACTGAATGAACTCAACATGGCTTTAGGGTCAGGGAAAGAGGTAGACTAATGCAGGCTTGAGAAAATGTGAATCGACCCTGAATTTGAAACTGCCAACATACAATGACTATGCTTCACAACCGCACATTGTAGCTTCTTCCTTGATTCTTCTATGTCACATTCAGGCGAGTAAAGTTTCAGTATTGATTATGATACATTACAAGCCATTCACCTTGTGATCAGACCGTAATTTTGATGCCAGCAGTTCACAGACAGTGAGGAAAATCGAATGGCATTTTTGTATAAACAGCAGAAACCATCAGCACAAAGTAAACTATAACTGTCACAGTTCAGATAGAAATTTATAAGTAGAACCTTTCTGAAAGAACATAAATAAACATACAAATAGGGAGGTAAAAAGGAGACACGCTTATACGCAGGGAGTAATTAGCTAGACAAGCTAAAACAACTGAAAGTAAGGAAAGTGAATATTAAAAGGAAGGGTAGAAGGAATAAGAAAAAGATGGGATGGGAAAGAACACTAAGTAGTTAGGAAAGGAGAGAGGTAAAGGTAGAGGAGTAATAGAGAAATATAAAGAGAAAGAAGGATCCTATGAAGGTGTATATTGAAAACACAGTTACATCAACTAGGGAGATGGGGACACATGCACAATCTATCATATATATTTTACATTTCAAATACGCTGAGTGTGTATAATAAAGAAAATCATGCAGAGTATTCAGTCAGGTGTTACAGATATTAAATAAGATAAACAATTTGTGCTCTGTGTCTTACAAGGAATGATCCAAGAAAAGACATGTGGAATAATAGAATTATAAAATTAGAGAGTGAGGAGAAGCACATTATTTTTATTGATATAGATTTGGTGCTTGTGATCAACAAGTAGAGAGGCCTTGGGCAGAAGATCACATAACAGAATTGGTCATATCCAATTTACCTTCTAATTTAAGATTACCTAGAAAAAACTCACGTTTATTGTCATCCTTGCTACAGTGCATGTGGTCACCCTTTCAAAGAATGTGATAATTCTATGAAAGGTAACAGAGCCCTAAGGAAATACATTTGACAGAAACTGACAAAACAACAATAACAAAAATTAGCAAGACAAATTTGAACATTGACAATGATTTCTTATGTATCTAATTCAAGGAAACATCTCATGACAAACAAATAGCTTCACGCATTTACTTGGTATTTCGATTTATTTTCAACTAAGTTCAGTGGTAGATGCCTATAGGCTATAGCCTTATTACTTGGAATGGTGAGGTGGGGAAATGCTGAATTTCAGTCCCAGTCTGGACTGGGAGTATGAATATATATTTCAGAACAGCCAGTACAGTCTTTTACTCTTGCCATATAGTAAGAGCTTGCATAGATAAATAAATAAATAAATAGAGAAAGAAATGTGCATACAAAGACAATATGTATAGCTAAGAGTGTGAAATCACTGGTTAGATCAGTAACAACTATATATAAGTTCATATTTTCATAGCTAAATAACACACATTTAAATAATTCAACTTTTAGAAGTCTTAGGGAAAAGGACATTATTATTTAGCATTTTTTATTAAAAATTTAATCTTGGAATGGCAGGACATCACTAGACATACTTAACCATTCTGACGATCAGTGAAAGGTGTCAGCAACCACTCTGAACATTAAAACTAAAAGTCAAGACATTGGAGCTATCAAGGTATAGCAAAGTAAAGTGAGCCCTTGTCAAACAGGTGTTTTGCAAACCTCAGATGAGGCTCTGATACACCACATTCATGTGTGTATATTTTTCCACTATAAAAGAAACCTGCTGAATAATTAGTCAAAAAAACTTAACTCTCAGAGAATATATTTAATTATTCCTTTCTGTCTTGTTCTGAGTCAGAAGCTTATCACAAATCACAAGTTTAAACTTATTCCCTTGTAGACTGCACACCTGGGAAAAAGTACCTAGCAACTAACTTGTTACCACTTAGGAAAGTAGTAGTAGAGGATGTCAAAGAATTCCCTGATCTTAGCTTAAGATTTATTTGATATCTCCAAGGTTTTCATGTTCTTATATATGAGAAAACATAGTTTTCAGCATCAGAGTTTGCATATATTTAGTATTCTCACTCTGATCTATTTAAAAATACACACACAGGGTTGGGGATTTAGCTCAGTGGTAGAGTGCTTGCCTAACAAGAACAAGACCCTGGTTTCAGTCCTCAACTCTGGAAAAAAATAATAAAATAAAATGAAATTTTAAAAAAAGACCAAAAAACAAGGTTAAAAAAAATACACACACAGGTTATGTTATAGAATATATGTATAATTATACATATGTATATAGGATATATACATACATACATACATAGTCTGTGACACAGATGTTTGTAAATCTGTCTATAAATCAGGATATCAGTGAGGAAGGTCTACATTGCTGTGGCTCTGGGGATGGATATTTAGAACTCTTCTGTGTTTTACGACTAACAACAAGATGTTTTTATTTCTGTTTTGTAAACAGCTATAAATAGGCACAGTGCTTCTCTATTATAGCAGTTGTTGGTAGTGTTTCTTAGAACATCTTAAAATTAGAGTTGTTTCCAAGCAGATCACTCTATAAATGGAAGTCCATTTTTATTCTCATTAACTTCCTTTTTCATTTCTAATTTACCTTATTCCACCACTGTAAGCTTCCATAACACCTATCAGCTGTCTGGAAAGTGGAATATACATTGATATCTATTTCCAGGTGGCATTGTATTTTTTAGAGTATTTCCATAGAATTTAAACATAGTGTGCATCTCAGATTCTCTTCTACTTGTAAGCCTTAACAAAACAAAACTTTTGACTGCAAATCAGGACATACAGTTTCTTACACTGCCCTGCTGCTTCCCTTTTCTATATACAGTACCTATACATAAATGCACATGGCAGAATGTACATGCTTTTCTAAGAGCAAAACACACTGCAATTTCTTCAAATGTATTCTTATATTCAAAAATAAAGGTATCACCACGAATGCCAGATACAGAGAGGGAGGACAAGACCAGGCTACAAAACCCCACAGAGACAGCTGATCAGAACAAGGGGAAGCTAATGGGCCTCCAGACTGGTAGCTGGAAATACAGCATTGGACTGACTCAGATCCCCTGAACATGGGTCTCAG